CACACCAGTCATAACTCTGACCTCGGGCCGGTGACAGTTATACCGCTGCCTGGTTTGGCTGCACTGCAAACGAAACAAGAAGTTTCACTACTTGTGCATTTTTTCTCCCCATGTTTTCAGGCAGCCAAACCCGGTGGGAGAGTTGTTGTTTCATCCTTTACGCAAAAACACATGAGGATTTTAAATGTAACTTCAGGGGAAATTATGTGAACAGTTGGAGAATAAAAACTATTTTGGCAACAAACATGTTTTGAGGAAAGCCTGTTTGTTTAATATGTTTGTGTTATTCTGCTGGAAAAAACAGAGATAATGAACGGAAGCTGGTAATAAAAGCGCACTGACACGTGTTGACGGATGGATATGTTTAACTACGTGTATGTGTGCGTGTGTGTTTATTGGCGCCGCCATCAAGCGGTTGTGGGGCGGCCCTCAAAGATAATTCCCCACAGAAACTAAAACAAAGAATTTGGACATTGATCCGACAGGCTCTATTGCAGCTATACCATAAGGATAACCCAAACGTCAAAACAAGGTAACTCAATCTACCCCACCAGAGAGAAAAGGAAACGAAGAATAATCTGTTAAGCATTGCTCTGACGTCATGCCATTGCTCTAAGTACACGTCCTTGCACCCTTTTTTTTCTGAACAATACACACATTCATACAAAACACACAAGTACAGGAATCGGCCTGTCTGCCGTGAAGAAAAACAAATCCCACTCTCCTTAAGGGCCTGTTTCAACACATTTCTCAACTAAGCGCCGCGCCCACCCCCCCCCTCCGCCCCCCCGGGACGGCAGCCATGTCTTCATTTGGGCACGCTGTAAACTCAGTGATCTCTGATTAGTCCTGCAAGTCCAGCCTGCCCTTTGGGACACACAGACCTGGGCTTCAAAGAGCGAGAGGAAATGCTGTGCCCTTCCTGTCACTCCCAGTCAGAGCCAAAAGACGTGGTTCAGATACGACGGGGAGATTACGCATCCAAATTTCTAAAAAATTGCAAAAGAACGAGGTGGGGGGAGGGGGAGGGGTATGAGCTAAGGCACGTAGGAATAAAGACCCAGATGTACAAATGCACAGACACAAACACGGATTATAAATCAGGCTTAGTACTCACTGATGCTTGGCAAACAGTGGGAAGCCTGACCATGACAGCTCGGAGCAGATTCATTAGGATTTTGTTTTACAACATTCCCATGTTCTTCAAATACAACGAGCCTCTTGATATTAACTGGAACAGATGCAACTTTGAAGCCGCAAGTTATGGGACTCGGAACGTTCACGTTGCAGCAAATAACTATAATGTATGTGGAGTAATGAGAAGGGAATGAAGTCGCTCTCCCGCTTTGCGCCCTTTAAACAGAGCTTCTCCTCGCTCTGTTGACAGTCGCGCTCGCCGCAAATGCTTTTAGTGCACGTGAGCGTGTCACATTGGCACATGCGCTCATACGCCGGCTACACCTGATAAGGCCGTCCAGGGCAACGGCCCTGTTATTGAAGCTTAGCACTTAGCCTCCCGTCCCCCATCAGGTAAACACTATTAGCTTTGTCAGCAGTATACTAACTTCTGTTTGCGGTGTGCGGCACCTCCAAGGGATTAAAGGAGGGCAATGCTTTCATACGATGTTTTGTTTCCTCTAATCTCAGACACCTGTTCATCCCTCATCCATGCTCCTCCGTCAGTATTAATCCTCGCCGTCTTTTTCTTCCTCTCCCTGATGTTTTAAAGGTCTTACTAAACGCATGGGCAAGTCTGGTTTGCCAGAGTAACAGAATAGTTCGGCACATCCACTACATCTGTTGATAACTTGGCGTGCGGAAGACATCTTGCAGCCGAAGTAGAACAAAATACAATAGTTGGATAACCTCGTTAGGGATTTAAACAAGAGGTGCACCCCTAGTGGTGGAAATTATAATACGTGTAATAATGTTTAGTGTTTAGAATTGTAGAAAATTGGTGCCGTGAAATCCTTTTAACTGCCGACCGGCGTCGCCACCTGGAAGCTACGTTTGCGTTTGTATCGGACGCCATGTGGGTCCACAGTGCACACGGCACGGCCCCTTGAATGCAGACTTTCCCTTACTTGACCCCTTAACCCTCGGTTTCCTGCCCTCCCGCGCCGTATCTCGGAATAAAAACTTCATGCCACAGTGAATCCTCCCCCTTGTTTTGCCTCTGCCCTCCCCTCTCTGTGTCCCACTGTACAACAGGCAGTTGCCACAGCTCCCTGTCCCGCAGCCCCTCCACTCCTACCGCTTCTTCTGGGGCACTGCACAAAAACTGTGCATGTCTTGGTCCCAAGCACCGGCGCCCACATACCTCCCAATCTCCAGCATAAATAGCGCCAGTCTCTGAAGTTTGTTCCAGAGGCTAATGGCTTTTGTTGCTGGGAATAATCCACACATCCTCTCCCACATCCTGGGGGTCCGCTGGCCTGTCGTGAAACCCCCGCCTCCCCCCTCTTCCCTCCTTCATCTCTCCCGGCTCTCATCTCCATCTCAATCTCAGCTTCCATTCGGGTTGACCTCCCCGCCTGCTCATGGCACGGCCTTGTGGTGAAGTACGGAGGCCCGCAGAACCGCTCCGCCCGCACCGAGGGGAGGAAGCAGTGAGTTGACACTGGGTTGGGACCCGTGCAGAGTTTTATAGGGAGTCAGTGCAGGTGGTGTCTGAAGCTTAATGAAGGCCCTAAATCTGTTCTCTGTCATCTGCCGCTAACTGGAGTCTAAGCAGCAAGGGCAAGAGGGATAAGTGCCTGGGAGTTTGTCCTCATAAAAGGGAAAGAAAACATCCACCAGGAAGCAGCCACAGCAGAAAAGCCTCAGTGTTAGTACTGTTCAAAATATAAAATGCAGAAGGGAGACAGGTTTTCACAAGATGAGGGTAGAGATGTTCCCTAGATCAGAGAGCACCGTGGATTTTGGGTGAAGTAGTCCATATGTATGCAAAGTTGAGAACCAGGTCCAGGTAGCAACCCTATTGTCGCAAACTGTCATCTAAAATATCCTCCTGGCTGAAATGTCAGAAATTCACATAGAATAAATATTCAGGTATGAGCTCATATCCTGTCTGGGGCACTTTTCTCCAGGGAGGGGAGTGGAAAAGGACAAACGGGGAGAAAAGAGAAGCTGAAATCTAGACAACGGCTAACATTCACTAACGACCCAAATCAGAGGTCTTTATTTAGTTTTAGCCTTCACGTACAGGCTGACATTCAGTCATATCTAAAAAGGTGTAACATGTGCCAGATAAATGTTCTATATTGCAGGGAAAATACAAATCTTGATTTCAAGGGAAAGGAGTCAAAAGGAAAGTGATCCAGCGTACAGAGAAGTTGAGAGGACAGAGGACGGCGGCAACCGAGAGAAAAAACAGAAAGTCCCGTGACGGAAAGGGGAAAATAAGAGACAGTAGAGGGTAAAAAAAAAAAAAGTCGGAGGCAGGACATTACGGATTTTAAGAATGTAAAGGTCAAATTAGACAAGGGAGATTGAGGTATTAAAAGGAGGATGCAAATGAAAAGCGAGGGGAGGGGACGGAGCTTAAGAGGGGACAAACAAATACGTTGAGCATAATTATCTCCAGTGCAGAGGACATACGTGATTTAACACACTTATCGATTATATTGTATATTTTTATCTTATATCGCACCAATGCACAAAGTCAAATTCCTCTATGTGTAACATATGTGGCAATAAATGGCTTCTGATTCTGATAAATCTGTCACTTAGCGGATTTGCGCCCATCTTTGGACCTCTGTTGGACACTGTATGTAAAATATAACTAAGCTAAAACACAACAGACTATTGACTGAGTAGCTGAGTGAATGAAGTTGTTCCCAGGGAAGAGGGTAACCCAGATTTTGGGGTTCATGTTTTGAATCTTGGCTGTTGGGGTTGGAGAAATTACATAAAGACAAACTAAGAACCATGTTATATTTGGAGGAGGTGATGAAATGTTTATGTGAACTCCATGGCCAAAATTAAAACGCATAATAAAAGCGAGCGGTTTTGGAAATGTGATTGTTATTTTTTATAAGACGAGAGCTGTTTGGGATGTGGCGAAAAGAGGTGGTGAGTTTAGGGAAAGGGAGAAGTAATGAAAAGTAGTGCGTAAATGATTGGAGAATGGAAAAAAAAAGACACTGACACCAGACACCAGCATTTAAGTAAAGGCTGAAGATTCCTTTGAGTTCAGTTTGATTGCTTTGTCTAGCTTCAATCTAGTGCTGCTTGAGTATTCAACTGTTATTCTGAAAGAAAAAATAAGCATAAAAAAAGAAGGAATGAAATGTGACCGAACAAAGTTTCTTTAATTCAATAAAGCATTCCAATGTGGAAGATCTCCTCAAAGAAGATTGAGACCGAGTGAAGGGGTTTGCAAATGTGAAGTATGTCATTAATCATTCACTTGAAAAAACACAACAGGAAGCAACCGGATAAAGTGAATTCATTTCCAAGCGCTGATTTTGTTGTGATCAAACTTTGATTCATTGTTTAGTCACAACTTGTGAATTATTGTGTTAACATTGACCCTTAAGTTACAACACAGCTTAAGAATAATAATTATCATCTATGATTATGTGTGATGGGAAATGTGTTGCTTGCAGTAAAACAGCTGTAAAAAAATGACCACCCTTAAAAACTCATAATTACACTTTACATCACTTTAACATCTTTCAGCTGTGTTCCGGTTCACTCTCTCAGCTCTCATCCACATCATTTCCAGAAGCAGCCGGCGGCTATCCCAGTGCGAGAAAACGCCAAAAAACACACAACTCCCAACCACCAATCAGTGAGCAGACTCATCTAGCCACTGGCTGGTAAACACTGAAGTATTTAGCAGCTGTGGACCACGTAATTCCCTTTGGAGCTGGTGGAGACCAAAACAGAGCTAACAGGGATATTGGATCAACCTTTCTCGATCTTTCTAACCCTTTGCTCTTTCCAGCCCTTGGTTTAGTTCACACGTTACATTGTTGTGACGCAGGTGTCGTTACCTGGCCATGCCCAGACTGGAGAAGCCTGCTGGAACGATGAGAACGTCCAGGCGGGGAAAGGGGTGGACCCCCAGAACGGTGTGGGCTGCAGCCAAACATCGGGGCAAAAGATCTAGAACGGCCATCTGCAACGGGAAGGCGACAACTACCTCAACACAACGGACTGAACTATACCAACGTTTTGCATGTGTGAAGGTTGATACCGATGGGTATGATAAAGAGTTAGTGGGCACATGTATTAGCTCTTTGTGAGCCAAAGGTCAGGTTGTATCTGGTCTTAACTTTGAGGCAAATGCACAGAATCACAAAATCAGCAGTCATCAGCTATAAAACCGACTGAACGTGCAAAATAGTTGCTATAGTTACAAACATTAATGTTATTCTAGATAGAAATGCCTGTGAATGTTGTAAGTCGCCTGCAATAGATTACAGTCTCATACTTTTAAACGCCACTTGACAGCAGGCTTACAGACAGCAACACTAACTGATGCTAATGGTTTCCTTTTATAATACACGATATAATTAGCTTCAGTGGCTCTTCGTCAAAACTTCACCTGGGCTTTCTGCAGCAAGCAGACGGGTCCAAACACACGGTGTGGAATCACCCGCTGGGTCCTAGCCGAGCGCTCAGTAAATCGGCATGGGTAGTCGCCATGGGAACAAGACATGGCGTCATTCCCCGTGCCTGAATAATCAGTTAGTGAGAGCCCCTCGTCCCCAGCCGAAGATTGACAAAATGAGCGGGTGGTCTGGTCTCCGCTGTAGCAGATCGAAACAAAAAGGGGGTAGAAAGTTTAATAAAAGGTTAATCGTAACAATTTAATGGACATTTCTTATTAAAATAGAATCGTCACCTTCTTGTGAAATGGCCTACATCATTTTTTTAGTTTTTTTTCAAAGACGCCAAATAAGTTAAACTCTTGCATAGCCAAATATAATACTGGGGTAGAATAGCATGATCTGTGGTCTGAGGATGTAGGTGATTTCACCAGAGTGGGCCACCATCATACGAAGAGTATTTAGGCAACAAGTTGATTTTTGTTAAATTACTTTGATCATTATTTTCAGAATACGACGATATTCAGTTACTGAGTCGGTGAACCAAATAATAGCACAATGTGCAATAAGCATGGAAAGGAGAGCAGTGGAAATGTGAAATACATAGGTCACAAAGGTAAACCACACCGCTCCCAGAAATATCCAGCCAACATGCAATCACACTCTCAACCCAATACCCAGCACTCCCTCCATCCTCCGTACCAGGAGCGTTCCAACGGGTTTCCAGCGGCATCCAAGTTTCCTTCCAGCCATTCACTGAAAATAAAGGCCTTCCTTGTAGCGGGAGATTCCTGGGGCCTGCAGAAGGCTACAGCTGGACTGCTGCTGGAGGAAAACCATGAGGGGAGGAGGAGGAGGATTACTGGAAACACCGGCAGACCTGCCAACCTGCGGGCCAGTGGAGAGGGAGACCCCAGCCCAAAGCAAGCCGGCCCCTCTCTAAAGCCCCAGCCTGTGCCTCCATACAAGTTATGTGAGCTCTACCTTTTTTGCTCTCCAAAGATAATGTCTTCTGGGCACTGATCCCAATGTACGATAGTACAAGCTTTAATGTACTATGGCATAAAAAAAAAAAAAGCTGATTGAGTACCGCGCCCCTTACCTCACCTGCACCATTACTGGTTTGGTGAAAGGAAAGTTCCACGGAGGAATGTTAAAGGGCCAGACTTGGGTTAATAACAGTCTGGAGGAGGAGGAGGAGGAAAAAGGCACACAAAAAGAACAAATAATAAAATACCTGCCAGTCTTGAGTGGAGAGCCCTTTGCTACGCTGCTGGAACTTCCAAGTCCAGACATAAGGTCAGCTTCTCCCAATTCTGCAGGTCCGGCCTCCAGTTTGGCCGCGTTGCTACGATCTAGCAATCTACGATTGTCCCTCAATCCCCGTTGCAATGTTGGGGCATTTTCTGCTGTGACTTGGTGCCAGTGGCCCACTGCCAAGGTGAAGGTGGAGGCGGGCATGGGCATAGTGACGTAGTAATGCCAGATTAAGGAGCCTGCAGAGAGTAGTAGAGAAAGGATGAAAAAGTCAAAAAGGTGGGAGGGCGGAGGGGCAGAATAAATCATCTTTCGACTGAAAGTCGTTTTATTCTTTTATTTCAAACTAACAGATCCGTATCCCTAATGGCACGGATCTACATACTGGTCCTATGGCAAAGTTGACATCTTCCATGCCAATTAAACAAATACTTCAATTAAGGATTTTTAAAATTGAGTTTTTTTAAAACAATACTGCAGTAATCTCATCCTGACTTGCAACCATTTTAATAGCAAGTCTCGTGTAGAAGCCTGGTGTTATTTCTCAAGCTCCTACACAGGAAGTTTACACATTCTTACAGATTTATTTTTGGTTGCAACAGATGTCAATGAGCACAACACACTATAGGTATGTGAATTACATCCGAGTCTGGAGGAAACTGGTTTCAAAAGTAAACCAAGTTGCCTTTGAAACGTTGCCGTATTGCTTCCTAATAACACTTAAACTCAGGTTTCAACGACACCAAAATTACATATTTTACCCTTTTATATTTTACAGAATAGGTAAAAAAAAGGAAACTACTTCAAATGCACTTTAATAGTTTAAACGAGAGCAAATGAGCGACTTTGTGCAACATTGATAAAATCGACTAGACGTCTACTGGTTGTCACAAACGGTTTGTGAAAGAACAGCTTACGCGTGTCCCCGTCCTCAACGGGTACGGCGGCCTCCTCCCCACTCATCAAAACCACGCACCCGCTGGGGGCCCGTACCGCCGCCTGCCACGTTGACATGGCAACAGGCGGCTCCTGGCAGGGGAAGAGTGCTCTGTTGTTGATGGGAGAACCTGCAGTGTAAACACACACCCTGGAAGGGTAAACAACGGTAAACTATAAACAACCCTCGTGCAAATCTCAAAGGATCCACCACCAAGACACAGGCACGTCAGGCATGGACACGCAGAGGAATAGAACAGCCCAAAGGGTGTTTCTGTGCATTAACGAAGCCGTCGATCCTCTAATCTAGTCTGACGCGACGAGCTCAGAATATTACACTGTCATTCGAGTAGCAGAAATCAAAACAGTTCTAAAGTATTTAGAAGAGAAGTCTAATAATGTGAAACCAAATGACAATGTGAATGATTTGCACGCGGAGACAAACCTGTTGTCCTGGTCTTGGGTCCACCTCACGGAGCCCCCCTCCGGCCTCGTCTCATAGCAGATCCTGAGGACGCGGGGGAAGTCCCGAGGTGACACCGCCCCCTTCTTCCTCACCTGCAGACTCCAGCGGTCTGTACGGAAAGGCAGCGAGCCGCCACCCGGAGCGCCAGGGGCTCGGCTACACAGCGAGAGGAGCTGCTGCCGTCGCCGCCATTGGCCAGCGGGCACGGAGAGGAGGTTCTGAACGAAGGCCGCTTCGGGCTTCACCGAAGGGACGGCGGACCCCTCGGGTGCGACAGGGTGCGGCAGGAGGCCCGGCGCGGCCGACGCGGAGGCCACGTCCACCTCTTCCACCTTCGACACGTCGAGGTCACAGCAGTCCAGCAACAAGGTGAAATCGCCGCCGCTGTTGGCCTCCCACGACCGTGGCGACGGACTACCTCCGCTTTCAGCGGCAGCGTGCGCCGACCCGCTGCCAGGCGGAGCTCGGGGTTCAGGTGCGTCCCTTTCTCGGCCGGCACACCTGTTCTTCGCCCTGGTCGGGGTCTCCGCGAGTCCTATTGTCGCATCTTCCTGCTCACCCGCATCCCGAGATCGACACTCAAGAGCACCCGGGCTCCCTCCGGCCTCCTCCTTGGCGCTCCCCGAACCGGAGCAAGGCTCCAGGAAGAGAACGACGGTGCCGCCGATGACCTTCCTGTCGAAATGAACGGCCAGGTCCAGCACGTAATGTCTGACGAGTATGTGGTTAGTGTTGGCTCGGAGGGGAAGGTCATCCGCGTCCGGCTCCATGTCACACAAATACGGTCTAAGTTGAGCAGAGGATGGTTGAACCTGAAGACCAAAAATAAAGCTTCATTGCAATGGTGTTGTTTCCGCATTCATTTACATATCTTATGGTAATGGAAAGTGTGCATTTGCGTGAGTCACGGTAAACGCTTTTAGTTCATATTCTATAGCTTCCTGTGGACTGAGGTGCTTAATTTAGTTGCTGAATGTGCTGCGATGAAGCCAAAGCGTCAAAGTCTGCAAGCTCAACTCAATCCGTTCACGCATTAATGTTTCCAGCAGGAAAACTTGTTTCACGATGGCATTTTGATCGGTGTTAATGAAGTGGCGGTTTAAGTGATTTGTTTTATCAGCAGAAGACCAGGACGAGCCACCGACCCGCTGCAGTCTGTTAGAAAGGCTCTCCTGCTGCAGCTGTATCTGAGGTTTCACTGTCTCAATGCTCGGGGCATGAAGCAGGCTTGGCAACACCGAGTGGCAATTACCATTGACAGCAGGAAATCCTCAGAGGTTTATTCGGTGCGGGGGTAAATTCGTAAAATTGAGCACACAAAATCAGAGAATATCAGCGGCACCGAGAGGTTAAAAAAAAGGAATAACGCCTCGCATTGGTGTAACGGGTCGGCTAAATACACGACACGTGTGACCGGTCTGTTATCTACATCACGTGCACACTGGTGAGTATCACCTGTAGTCAGGTCGGCTAAATGTCACCACAGGACGGAATGACACGAGACGGGCAGCGTCCTAAAACGGGTAAATGCCCCGTTATGCATCGCCCGCCTCACGGTGCCTTTAACGCCTGAAAGCCACCGCGGGTTTAACGCCGAGGAGTCACGCGCGCAGTTACGGAAATCTTCAACAAACCTGTGTCCGTTTAATCGACGTCGCGCAGTGATGACGTTGCATTGACGCGACAGTACGAGGTTGTAGTTTTTGCATTTGTTACCCAAGTTCTTCCCGCCTTTTAAATAGTTCAATGTACCAACCACATTGGATTAGTTTTTTTATACAATAGACCAATTACAAAAATATTGATAACATTTAATCTGTGCATGTTGGGTTTAGGTTATCAAGTAATATAGCTTTGTAATATAACAGCAAATCTTTTTTTAAAGACTCTCGCCACAATTTATTGACAAATGTGGGATATATTAAGTTTTATTTGAGTTCAACAGAACAGAATGCCTGACAAGTAAAAATTCCACATTTATTAAAACACAACAGGTATACACATAAAAATAACTCATGAAGAAACAAATGAATTTTCCAGATGTTGATTGCCACCAATTTATCTCATAACACCAACTTACAGCAATAGACTGCATGTTTAAAAATAGCTATACATTTTTAGTTAATACTCACATATTCCACAGCTCATAAATAACAGATGTACCTGGAAACAGAGCGGAAAATATTCAAATGACTATCAATGTATATAAAAGTGTATACACGCACTTTTGAAATGGCAAGTGCATTGACGTTACTGTAATACAGAGAGCTGTTAATGGATGTCAAAAGGAAATCAGGTCGCCACTATCGAATACTGCAAAGCAGAAATAAAGCTTTCCTCTGTAATGTATTTTGATGACTGAACAAAATGCAAAGCACCGCTTTGTGGCGTCACTTTTCAAAGTGTTGTATTTCTAGCATCTCTGTTCTTATGTAAGGAGGAATTCAATTTGGCACTCTGTGCATTGTAGGAATTAGACTATTAACAGGTACTGAAACTACTGGAATATACATTGAGATTCTTACAGTGCACTCAGTGACTGAATCCTGCCAACTAAATAAATCATCAATAAAATCATTATTGCTGTTCTTATCTAAAAATACATTTCCATACAATGCAAAATAGTTTTTCATAGCTTTGTAAACATCTTTTTAACTATCTGATGTAATACATCTATATACAAAATGAGTATTTAGAGATAAGCCATGTGTGATGTAGAGCCTCAGATGCATCAATAAGTTAAACTCTTCCATTAGCTACATGACCAGGTACTGTATATTCAACAAACGTAGGAAATTGTGTCTTATTTTTCCAGTGCACAAATCCACCCATACTGCTGCTGCTCTAACCAGCACATTTCATGTAGACACCCAGTAGAATTTCAGAGGCCTTTTAGCACAAAACAGAATCATTTGTCAAGTGAATTCAGTATGGCACCAAAATCCTCTACTCCAAACATGATCTAAATAAACACACATCCATTGTACATACACACAGGACATAAGCATTATTGGCACACACACAGACCCTGGGCCAGCAAGGGCCTCAGAGAGGAACTTTAGTCCGCTTATGTACCAACCCAGAGGTTGCAGCATTATTAGGACTGGCAGCTAACTAGAAAAAGAAGAAAAAAAAAGAACTCAACAGCGCCAAAAGCATCTGAAGATTTTACAGTGAAATGCTCTAAAGCTCCATGTTTATATGTGCTCATTCACCTTTTGCCTCCTGTAACAAACAACCCTAGAAATCATACAAAGTGGACGTGCCGCAGACATTAATAAGCACTGCTGGACTGTTGACAAGCAGAGTCCTCCATTGTGGACACAATGCGTCTCCAGCGCAGATAAGAGCAAAAGGGTGTCACCAGCAGCTCCTTTACTTCTCTCTTCTTTCATGTCGTCTTCACGTTTCCTCTTTGGGTTGTGTGACAGCCTCCCCTTCCTCTCCCTAGCGCTCTCTCTCTGTCTCAAAGAAGTTGTGGCATCCTCAGGAGTTTTCCTCCTGAACTCTGCGGAAACTTAGACGCTTGAAGGAATCCCTGTAAGACAGAGATGACAAGTAGATGAGCGACGGCAGAGAAAACTCCAGATAAGGAGTGATCATGGTGAGAAAGAGGAGGATGAGGAGTCAGGGCAGGTAGTTGTAGGAGTAGAGTCATTGGAGATGCATTTCCATGTGCATAACAATACGAGTTGATATACTTTAATACTATGTGTATATGCTGTATGATCCATTAAACTATCAATAATCAATACTATTCATCATATTTTAATGTCATGTTGGTTAATATAAGTCCTCATCCAAGCTAATACTCAAGAATACTGAAGCAACTGATTTTAAAAGCTCTCTGCATGTTGCTGAGTAATTGATAGAACAATCTTAATTTGGGGGATAAGTACATGCTCATCACTCGGGTTGGAAACACATGGAAAGATGATACTTAGTGAGCATTGTGGCCGTGGCATTGGTTCAGCGCTCAATCAGTGTAACATGGCTCTGGTTCAACCATCAATACCCCCCCAAAAATCGCTGTCTCTTTCTGTTTGAGTTGCTTTGTCGGTTTACCTGTTCTCCAGCCGAGGCCTGATGATGGGCTTGTAGAGCTCAGGTATCTTCCTCTCCAGCATCGGCCTCAGGTTCTCCCTCAGGCGGTTGTAGTTCTTCTTCAGCTCCTGCTGGTACTCTTTCTGGTCGAATGTGATCAAGTTCTTATTTTTCTCAACCGCCTCACCGCACCTGCCGGGCGGACAGAGAGCAGCACGGTGTGAGCTTTAGACTGTGTTGTCTTGAATTACATTAGATTAAAAAAAAAAAAGAAACAAAGTCGAATGTACTAAACAGATTTGATAACGATTCTATGCAAAACGATCTTGCGGTAATCCCCCCTCATACCTTCAGAAATGCACTGTACTGATCCACGCTGACAACATCTCGTAACTACTTGACATAAATTGGACTCCTTTTGCATGCGAGAGCTCTACATGCGGGTGAACAATGGACTTGGCTGTACGGGATTCCTATTTTGGTTCTCTCAGAGTGCCTCAGCTAGAATGTGGGTGAACGATGAAATGACCCACAAGACTGTTTCAAGTAAAAACCAGTCTTGGAAAAATGGGGCAGCAGAGATAAATCTCTAGATCAAAAATGAGTAACAAATAAAAGTAGAGGGCAGGAACGGGGTCTGCCTGTGGTATACTCGCCAAAATACAGAGCAGTCGGCAGGAAATAAGAGGGACTGAGATGATTGCAAACACGTGTGGCGAGTTTATCTCTTGGCTTTAAAGAAGGTAATATGGAAACGGCAATGTCGCGTAACAGTATACAGTAATTACGCTGGGCAATGAGCATTAAGGACACTTCACAAGAAAAAAGGATTTTCTAAGCAATGGAAACCTCTATGGATTATATCTTTGTACCGGACTGCTTGGTCTGAATTTTTAAAAATGAATTGATATACATGCAATATATAAATATCTTTATTTGTGTCAACAGACTAAAGTGTTTGACACGTGCTTCTGTTCAGTCAAAAATATGAATGTGTCTTTCTGTTTTTGTAACTTAATTCATGATTTCTGTGCTGACTTTAAAAGATAATCTCTGTCTGTTACCGGAGCTACATAAACCATAAACAAATTTGGCAAAAGGGGAGATGTGGCCAGACGGCAGCATGTGAGGCTCAGAACGACCTCTCCACTAATGCAGCTATATCTCTGAACTTGGACTGGTCAATGATGCTATTGTATATCTATTATACGTGGAATCGTAACATAGCAATATAAGATTGTTTCATAGTTTAAAAATGAAAATGTAGTTTGAACAAATGACTGAAATGGGTCATAACGATTCAAAGTCAACAAATACTATTAAGATACCACGTGAGTAGTTTTATCCAATATCACGCATCACCCAATATCACAGTTCATTGGAATATAAATATTTATTTGTGATACAGATCGGTGCTGCTGCCGCAATATAATGCAACCAAGTACGTTGTGGCACAGAAAATGAAATGTTTTGGTCTGATTCCGTACGTCGGATACGTCTTTATGAATGGAGACATTTAATTGAGTGGGGAAATAAAATTACCAACCTCTGAAACGCTGTATTATAGCATAAACGCTACAGTCAAGCAGACTGGCATACAAAGGGTCAAGTGTCAGCTCGGCTGGATTTTGGATGGAAAAAAAACACTATGAAATTAGAGTAAGTATTTGCCAACCTGCTTGTATCAATCAAGGCAGCTGGAATGTGACATGAGGGAAAGAAAATGAAAACCTTCTTTTGGAGGGAAAGTGCAAATGCCCATAAAATGAAAGGACACGCATACAAACAGACGCACACAGACGTCTGCACAAAGGACACACATCTCCTGCACAAAGTCAGCATATTCCCAAGACTCACGGCTGTGGGGTAGAGCGGGTCTAATTTATGATCTGAATATTCAAAATATAATCAAAAGTCTTCTGCAATTCAAGAAGAAGGGAGAAATATCTTCCATATCATTTAGGAAATGAAAAAATATCCTGCGTCATGATGGATGATATTACAACTCTTCTTACGTTATATGTTTAGTTTCTTTGACAAGCATGTAGTGTGCACTTTAGTGCAAATTATCATTTCCATCAGTGCATCTCGACGGACGCTTTGCTTAAACTGCAGGATATCAGTCTCCATACGTCCCCGTTGTCTTTGGTGCTCTTTTATCATCCTACGCCGACAACAATGATGATGACAATGAAATAGTGGGTGGATTCCTTTAGTTTTTTGGGCTCAGCGTGTAAGCTCTAGTTTGGTATGGCGTTTTTCCTCAATATTGAATGACTTTGATGCGGTTTGGTGGTGATTCTGTGGTTGTAACTTACCTCATTATAAACTCTTTGAAACACAAGCGCAGTTTATTGTGGTGACGGAAGAGCTTTGGGTCTGCTGGGATCTCATTCAGGAAGACCTGGGCCACCTCCAAAGGCCCCTACAATGGGGGGGCGGGGGAAGACAAAAACGAAACAAAACAAAAAAAAGAGACAGCGTTAGAGAGGCAAAGAAAGAGAAAGCAGAAACAGAGTGGAGGAAGGAAAGAGCGGAGGTAAGAGGGGAAGCATTCGAGAGGGCGTGAACAAAGGAGGGAGGC